CCGTGCTCCGTCCATGTCTGCAACAAATTGTTGTCAGACATGGGGACGAGTTGCGACGCGTTTATGGACGCGATCACACGCGCTCGTGTGCTAGTGGTGTTTTTCAAAACCCACCAGGCCGCCCTTCATTTTTTTAGGACGCGCAGCCCCGAGAAGGGGCTTATTCTTTCTTGCGAGACGCGGTTCGCGTCTGTTTACTCTATACTGGAGAGGTTGTTGGCCCTGCAGGACACTTTGCAGGACATGATGCGAGGGGACGACGCGCGGGCTTTTGCTTCCATCCCGTGGTCCGCCGATGTGTGCGTCATGGCGCGGTGGGTGCGCTGACAGATCAGATGGGATCCATGGTGGCAGAGGGTGGCCACCATCGTCCATATCATGCAGCCCGTCATGGAGTTGCTCAGGAGGATAGATCCTGGAGGACAGTACATGTCCCTCATGATCGAGTGGACGCAGAATCTTGTCCGCCGTATCACGGTCGCATGCGCCCCTTTGGGGACGTCGTTCGCCGACCGGATCATCAGGCATGTGCAGGCTCGCATACAGCACATGCTTGAGCCGGCTCACTGCGCAGGGTTCTTACTGAACCCCCGCAGGCGACACGTTCGCTACTTTTCGGGGCAGGTGGAGAGGTACGATGCTTGGCTTGTGGGGCAAGCCAAGAGGTACATTTTGACGCAGACGGGATTCGAGATGGAGGGTGCGGAGTACATCCTTGCATGTCAGCACTTTAAGGACTTCCACATTCAGCAGGGCAGGTTCGGGGATTGGGGCGGTCCGGAGGGGCGTGCTCGTGGGCGCGCGTGCAGCGGCGACAGCGAGACGAATGAGTGCGCGTCTTGGTGGTCTCAGTTCGGGTCGGGCGCGCCACAGTTGCAACGTTGCGCTCTTCGGGTGATGCACATGTGGTCTTGCGCCTCTCCAGCGGAGAGGAACTGGGCAGTCCACGAGGGCATTCACACGAAGAAGCGCAACCAGTTGGCCTTTGAGAAGGTCGTGCAACTCGTTGAGATCACCGCAAATGTGCGGTTGACTGAGTATCGGCGGGTTGGATGTGGCTATGTGCTGCCATGGCAGCGGGACGAGGGCATGTTGGATTGCCAGGCAGGACTCGAGTTGGAGCCTGTGCGCACGGGAACCCGCAGGGGGATGACGAACGAGGAGATTGCCCGCCAGGTTGCACTTATTACCCGGGATCCCGTCGGGGCGTCCGCACCACCCTCGGCTGATGCCGTTTTCGATAGACGTGCTTGAATTTTTCGTCCCTACCCCAGGGACAACGACTCAGACGAGGAGCCGATACCCGAGGCAGCAGATGACCCTGCGCTCCGCGTTCCCCGGGAGATCGACGAGACGCACGAGGATCAAGCCTCCGAGGACACGAGGACACAGACTGCACGATGGGCGGCGGACCCGGCGGAGAGCGAGATGCTGGGGGGAGACTAGGACTTTTGGGGCCCATTCGGTGAGGTCGCTTCCACGGGCGGCCTAGAGGCGCAGGCGACGACCCCCACTCCGACGAGGCGGGATTCGCCCATGCCGCCACAACCTGCTCCGAGTCCTGCACCACGATCGCCCGTCTCGCCACTTCCGCCGGACAGGGAGGAGTTAGGGTCCTCTTTGCCTCAGCGAGGCCTTCTCCACAGAGGCGGGGCAGTCCTCCAGCTTAGGTTAGGATCACCTTCCCCGGGGATAGGGCAGGAGGAGGGGGGACCTTCGGCAGCAGCAGTGGAGAGTTCGATGGCACCAGCGGCTGTGTCGGACGCGACGATCGCGGCCGCGGTGGAGGAGATAGCAGCAGCAGCAGCAGCATCAGTGCTAGAGGAGATGGCAGCATCAGTGCTGGCGGAGGATCCACCAGCGGCAGGAGGAGGTGCAGCAGTGGAGGGGCAGGTGGC